AAGGAGCAGTGTGTTACGTCAAGCACTGAGAGGAAGCATGAGTTCAAATCCTGTTTCTACGTAACTGAGCCATGTGCTCCCATTCTAGCCCCACACCAACAGTAGAACAGGGATGCTGAGGCCTGCCTAGGGGCCTGGTGAGATGGCTCGGTGGTTAATGGCATGTGTTGCTTTTGCAGAGGGCATGGGCTCTGTTCCCAGCACCCACAGAAAGGTTCACAAGGGTCTGGAACCCCAGTTCCAGGGGATCCGCTGCCTTCTGACCTCCACAGGCACTAAACACACACGGTGCACAGACATAGATGCAGGCAGAACACTCGCACAGAAAGTGAATAAACCTGAAACAAAACACCTGCCCAATCAAGTGTCGGGGCACAAGGGACGTGAAAACACTTCAGTGTACTTGGATGGGGCCAACTGAAGGCCAGCAGCCTGCCCCATGGGGGTGCTCCAGCAGAAATCACCCCCACCTTACTACGGGCTGTGTGCGGCGTCAACTTTAATGCAATTCAAAAATGTTCTGTTGGCCAATGGCTAACAATCTTTCCCATATTCACTTTTCCCAATGTTTACACAAAGGTCACTCTTTATGCTTGATCTCAAAAAACACTAGATAATCTAGACACACAAAGTCTACATGCTGTATGGCAACATTACTGATGAGCAGGTACCTGGCTACATCACTCATGCCATTGCCCCTGTGACCCATGGAGGCACTGGGTTCCCAGCCTCTGAGCTGGCCTGGCCAACCACAGGTTCCCAGCACTTGTCTGGGTCTGTGTCGGCCAGACTGTCTCATAATTAGAGATAGAAGCTGTAAAAGCCAGAGAGCCTATGCACCAGAGAGCAGGGGCTGAGAGGCTCCCAGAGGGTAAGGTAGCCAGACAGAGGCTTCAACTCAGCCAGAGAGAAAATGGAGGAGGGAGGCACGAACACAGCCTATCAATAGCACGCCCTGTGCTGCATGTGAGGAAGCCAGCTGATTCAGCAGGAAGGAGAGGTGCTCCAAGGCTAGAGACGGGCAACTTCCTCGCTGCAAGAACATGAAGGAAGGCTAGGAATGTTCCTCTGGCAAGCTCTGGGAGTCTTTCCTGCCTGGATCACATGGCTAAGAGGGGGTATGTCAGCCGAGGAGCCTGCAAGACAAACGGAGCTCCACTGCTTTCTAGTTTGCTTGACCTTGGGGCAAATCCCTTCCCTTCCTGAGCCCCAGGAGTCTTATCTCTAAACAGGAATGCTAAATGCACCTTGCACACTGGCTGTAAGGATTGGGGACTGTGGATGCACACAGACTGCACACAGAGCAGATAAAGCCTGAAGGGAACCTGTGACTAAGCCCAGGTCTCTCTGCCTGACTTCCCAGGTAGCATCCATTTAAGGGCATCTTCTGCCAAGGCCTCAAATGCCCCAGATCCTGGGCCCCGGATGCCTCACTGAATAGAAAACGGAACCTAGGGGTGGTAGGTCGTGGTTTCAGGGATGCTACATGTGAAGCCTGTGGTCAGGACTGGCATCTGCTGAGTCAGGTTCTACTGGCAGGGGGGCCATTTCTCTGTCCAGCACACTGCCCGATGAGGGGAGGGCGGGAGGGGAGCCAGAGGTCATTTCCTCTGACTCAGCAGCCATCTGAGGAGCTCCCTTGGGCAGGGCACCTCCGTGTGGCACTGGTCTCTTTGCAGGCCAACCTCCATGCCACCCCACACAGTCAAAGCATTGTGCACAGACAAGAAAGGAGCACTGTGGTCCAAACAATGAGCTGGGTCGCTCCCATCTGGCCTGGGATTCAGCTCCCCTGGGTGAGCAAGGTCCTTTGCTCTGCTTCCATCCCTCCCTGGAGAGTGGTGGCTAGGAACACCAAGTAGCAGCCCACCGCGGGCCCATGATTTGGCACATGCCCTAGCCATGAGGGATGTTGGCTAGCTTCTTTCCTCTTCCCTAGTTAAAAAAAAAAAAAAAATTCACCGCCGGAGAATGGGATTTCGTGTCAGGCCATGTTTCAAGGGAGCTGGAGCCCACCCTAGTGGCGGCACTAACAATGGTGGTTGCCCGGCAGAGACCCCAGACCCTACAACCTCCAGGCCCCCCCCCCCCCCGCAGCGGTCTGGGCCGCCTCCACGTTTGCAGCCACCCTGGAGCCCTGTTGCGACGACTGCAGCCACGTGGGAGCCGGCTCGTGCCCACGGAGCCGCTCTCCCTCACCCCCACCCTCGACGTGCTGAGGCAGGCACACCCAGACCGGCCAGCAGAGAGATGCTCTCTCCACTGTGCACCCCCTTTCCCCCCCTCCCGCGCCCCCGGCCGCGATGGGGGAGGGGGCGTCTCCACCCCGCAGTCGCGTTGCCGGGGAGCGCAACCCCGTTGCTGTGGCAACGGTTTCCAAGCGAACTGGTGGCGGCTCGCGCCCGGCTCGGGCTCCCTTGCTCACTGGTGCTCTCCTTCCCCTCCTTCCTTCCCTCCGGTGTGGGCTGGGGGGAGGGGCTGCCCGCTGTCCCGGTCGGGGTCCGGGTGGCGACACCAGGCTAGGGCTCTGAGCCACCCGCAGGGAGGGGCATCAGCCCGAAGACCATCTTCCGCCCGCGCTCTGTTCCCGCCCGGCCCGCAGCCGTCGCGGTACTCACGGGCCCAGGCATCCTCCTCGAACTCGTCTTCCTGCCTCAGGGCGAGCGGCCTAGCGGAAGGAACCCCCAGCTTTGGGCAGGCTGCGGCCTCGGGGAGCAGACGGTGGCAGCGAAAGCCGCTCCGAACGCTGGGCTGGAGGCACGGGGCGCGCGCACGGGCGCGTGCTGAGCCTGGCGTGCGCGCGCGCGCAGCGGACAGAGACACCCCCACCCCCTGCCACACGCCGCCGAGGGAAGGGGTGGGTGGGACTCCGGACCCACCTGCCGCACCCAGACACGGCACACGAGGGCGTGGGCTCGCACAACCCAGGGCGTCCTAGCAGAGAAGGAACACTGCACAGCTCCTGGCAACAGGCTGCCCAAAGGGAGGTGCGGGCGAGGGACACACCTGCAGCTTCGCTGCACAAAGCAGCCACACACGGGCGTGCTTAGCGGAGCAGCTGAGGTCACGAACCCAGTCACACAGCTCAACCCGGACATGTCCAGACACAGGTAAGAAATAGGGCAAGGCTAGAGGAAGCCAGGGCCTCAGTGTGGCTTCCTCCCAACTCAGGACCGCACCTGCTCTGTTCCGGAAGGTACAGTTCTACGTGCCTCCTGAGAAGCACGGAGAGCAAGCTGAGCGCTCAGTCTCCAAGCTTTCGTGGACATGCTCACCCGTGGATACTGTCTAGAGCAGGCTCCATCTTAAGCTTGACCCCGGCTGCGTGCTCGCCTTTTACTTTTTCCAAAAGCACCTCCTACCACATCAACTGAGGGTCATGGCTTTAAGAGCCAGGGTAAAAGGGCCCATAAAACCGAAGAACCCTGGTCTAGCTTTGATCGCAGCTGGTTCCAGGCGTTTCCAAAGCTGGCATTTGACACCCCAAATGGTGGTGTGGATGTCCGCTATAGCTCGACTTAAGCCCTGCCACGCACCCATTCCCGGTGAGAAGAAACCAGGTGTCTTTCCCAGTAGCGCGAGTATACACAAATCCACAGGTGACACTCAGAACTGGTGCCCACCGGTGAAGTGACCCACACCTTGGTGTCAAAGGATGTGCACTCCACAGTGTGCCCGCACCGAGGGCCACTGTTCCCACGCTTCCCTGCCTCCTGGATCAGCTCCAAGCTGGCAGGGGCCTCAGCTCCATCTGGGGGAGGGGGCGCAGTGCTGACAGTCTTGCTGGGAAAGTTCAGCGTTTAAGGTGAGCGTAACCGCAGTCAACTTCTCTGGAGCCTCACGGACCACAGGAAGTTAGAGTCTGGACCCAGCAGCAGGCAGCGCACTTCATGGCGGCACCTGGCACCCACTCACCCTCGCACACCCTTCCCTCTGGCTTCTTTTCCACCCCCCAATCTTGAGCACCCAATATCCTCTGCGTGGACAGAATTAACAAGCACCTATGTGCTAGATGGCCCCTGCTGGAAAGACACCTGTGGGCGACTACCAAGACCACTGCTGCTGGGGGCTGGAGAGACGGCTCAGCAGGTAAGAGCCTGGCTGCCCTTCCAAAGGTCCTGAGCTCGATTCCCAGCAACCGCCCAGTGGCTCGCAACCCTCTATAACGAGATCTGGTGCCCTCTTCTGGCACATACAGAGTACTGTATAAATCTTTAAAAAAAAAAAAAAAATAGTAGTTTGAGGCCTTCCTTCCCACAAAGTGAGCATCCAGAGACAAGAGGGGATGTGCAGACGCTTCAGACATCACTGTCCAGGACGTGTGCCCATGGCTGACACACACACATACCTGCTGCTCAGATCACAGGCGGTTCCAGGGACCCTCGGGAAGCTAAGGACTTGGGAGGAGTTTGTGAAGCCTGGGAGAAATCTGCAGTTAAGCAGGTCATCTCCCCTCCTGGAGTCCTGGAGTCCACCCTGCCCTCCTTGGCCTTCCAAAACATTCTTGCCAATTCCTGTCTTCCAGGTGACTGCATCAGGATCAGTTAGTTACTAACTTCAGAAAATGTTCTCTGAAACACAGGTGGCTGGTCCCTCCTACCCTGCCACACCCTTTTGGTCTTTGCCCACCCACCCACGTATCTAGAGAACAGCTGAACCTCATGGACACAGGGCAACCCAGGCTGCCACTGATGGGGCCAGCATTCCTAACAGCCTCTCCAGGCCACCCCCAAATTTACAAGGCTGCCTTGTAAAGGCCAGCCATATGTATCTGTCACTCTAGCATACACCCTAGCTGGTATCCAAGGCTGTGTCCCACCTAGGAGTGGAAAACCCAGGGACTGAGTCCCCACACCAAGGTCTGGTTGGAGTCCCAAGGACTCCTCAGCTTTTGAAGGCCAACTCCAGCCCCATCCGGGTCCATCTCCAATCCTTTCCAGCTGGGCCAAGAAACCAGTAAGAATTCTCGAAACAGCAGAAATAAAAGAGGCAAGCAGGGGTGGCTGGCCAGCCTTGTGCTCAGACTGTATTTGCACAGACACGTGGCAGCTCACATTGGTCACACAGACACATGGCAGCTTATATTGGCTTTAAATATGGAAAAGCCAGGGCCTTATGGTCCCATGCTGTCCTAACTCTAGCATCAGGACAGCCATCACAGTCTGGGAAAGGCCAGGGCTAGGGTTTGGGGCTTAGGCACAGCCGCACCCTACCCTCTTCACACAGACACACACTCACCCTGCCCCAATAGGCACACACAGGGTCAGATGGATTATTGCTGGGCACATGTCTACTTTTAGGAGGGATTCTGGAATGTTGGAGGGCCTGGGCTGGGGCGTTTCTGAAAAAGATGTCTTGAGGATATGACCCAGAAGCAGATACTGTGCTCTGGGAGCTGGAAGGCAGAGGGCGACCCGCCTGGGCAGTGGTCGGTGGGGCCCGGTCAGCTCAGTCTGTGGCTACACCGCTGCCTGGGGCCTAGAGGACACAAAGCCCCATCTCCGGCTCTGACAAAGGCTGAGGAAGAGTGAAAGCATTGGGCAACCAGAAGGTGGAGGCCTGTGTCCATAACAGCAGGCACAAATCTCACTTGGAGGTTGGCGGCGGCCAGCGGTCTGACCTGGCCCATACTCTGCTCATCTGCACTGGGCCTGAGAAACCGCGTTTGGCACTGGCTCCTCTGCCAGCTCCTGGCTCTCCCAGCTAGGGCGAGTTGTCCTGGAGTGCCATGTCCAGGGTGGAATTAAGAACGCTCTGATAGCTATATACATTCGTACAAATACATAAATACATAAAGCCCCGAGCTCCACACAGGAGAGCCGAAGGGACGCACCTTTGTCCCAAGATGGCCTAGGCCTTGTCAAACTCAGTTGGGCCAGGGGCTGAGGGACGGAGGACACTGGGGACAGCTCCGGCTGTGTTCCCCAGGCCACGACTTGAATGGACAATGGGGAACACCACTGTGCAAAACTGTAAACGTCACTGAGAGTAGCTGCTACCGCCAACCACCGGAGGGCGCCTCCGCCTGGGGGCTAGAGGCGGGTGGGGAGCTCTTCCTCACTGTCGCTGCAGGTTCCACAGCAATCCTGGAGGACAGGGAGAACATGGAGGGAGAGAGGCACAGCAGGTGCCATTAATCACCACAGGCCGACCAAGGCCAGGGTTATGCCCAGAGAGGGTTGGTGGGGTTCCCACAAGAGGCTTAGAGCTGCAGCTCAGCCACACATGGGTGCTGTCAGGGTACAGCTTTCTGGCAACAGATTGAGGTAAGACTAGGAAGCTCCCAGGGTCTGTCAAAGCAAGGCCTCTGTCCATCCCCTGGACAGACTCAGGCACAAGGAGCCAGATGCTAAGCAAGGTTAGCAGCTTGAGGGGGTCAGGGTGCAGGGAGCAAGCAGCAGGGAGGGGGCGGGTGAGGTGGGCACCAGACTTCTTTCTCCTACATCTCGCTCTGTCATGGAAGGGCTGCCCGGGCTCCCCACAGTGAGGCAGCAAGGCCAACCATGAGGAGCCCACACTGCTCACCTCTGGAAAGAGAAAAGAGGCCATGAGACCAGCCAGGCGTCAGGGATAGGCAGGAGTGAGGCGCTGTAGGCACCGCCAGGGCTGGAAGATGCCCACTCCCAGGGTGGGCCCCGGCTCCCTCCCACCCGTATCCCAGTGGAGCAGGCTGGGGCCCAGGTGAGACCCTGCCAGGACTTACTTGGCGACTGAAGAGCCTCTGTAGCAATCCCTTCTTGGGGGGTGCCGGGGGCTGGCCCTTCCAGTCCAGGTCTGGGGGGACGGACCCATCCAGCCCAAAGACATTTAGTTCCTGGAAGCACTCAGTCTCCACCATCTACCAGGAACAGGCCGCTGTGAGAGTTGGCCCCACGGATGCCCTGCCTGGAGCCCACCCCACTAGCAGGGTAATCCCTACCTCATTCTGCCAGGGAATAGACACACTACCCGTGGCAAACTTCTGGTAGAAGTCTTGGTCCGTGGGCTCCAGATCCACGCCTTTAACTGTAGAGAACTGTTCAATGTCCAGAACATCCTTGCAGTAGATAGCCTGGGGCTGGGGGTGGACAGAGGGAGCAGTCAGGAGGCCTTGAGGCTCAGTCCCCCGGGCTGGATCTGCCTGGCACCTGCAGCTCCCTGGTTTGGAGAGAGCGGCAAGGTGGGCCCATATTCCTCAGCCTAGCCCTCTGCTGTCTCTCAGGTCGAGGCTCTGGACCTCTCTGTGCAGGGACTGCACAGGCCTGGTGCTGGGCTGAGCTGGCCTTCCACATACACAGAACTGCCCAGCTGTGCCGCTGGGGTTGGGGTGGGAAGGGGACTGCTGGCTCCCGACTTGGGGCCTGGATGGGGTCTCCCTCTAAGACGTCCAGTGCTGGGCAGTCTTCCCAGCCACTTCCCAGCCCCTGCTGACATCCGCACCGAAGGCCGCTTCTTTTCTAACTCAATACACTGCTTTCAAAATCTCACCCCACAGGAAGGTAATTAAATATTACCTTCCATTTTACCTTCCTGGGGCTGGCAGTGTAGCTCAATGGCAGTGCACTGGCTCAGGAGGCCTGAGCCCCGGCTTCCATCCCCAGCGCGCACACGGTACCCACTCTCCCACTTACGGTGAAACACACATCACTATCATGTAAAAGGGTAGATCTAACCTGCAGAACCCTGACAAGATAAAGCACACACGGCTGTGTAGTTTTATGCCAGCATACATACTGCAGCAGAAAGAAGGCGGGAGTCCGCAAGTTCAAAGCTACGTAAGGCAACACAAGGGCACCTCATCTCAAAAAATAAAAGTAGAGAGCATTATTCCTGATAGTCTCACCCCCAAGGAGAAAAAACCTCATGTCAACTATGAAAGAATAAAATTTCTATCCACAGAATAGAATATTATCCCTCTCTACAGAAGAATGAAGCGTCGGCATACGCTACCGCACGGATGAACCTTAAGAGCACTCTTAGTAAGGAAGCCAGCCATGAGCATCGTGTGCAGCACGGCCGCGTCTACCTCCATACCTCAAGATCAGACATCTGGAGAGGACCAGAGCTCTCCTGTGCAGGAGGGAAAGCTCTGGAGCCCTGGTGGACACAGGGTTTTGTGTGGGTTCTGGAGGGACTGGTGAAAGCGTGCTGAACTCCTGGTGAGTCACAGCCCCTTCACTGAAGCAGTCACACAGGTCAGCTGGAAGGCTCATCAGAACAGCCATTAAAAATGTACCGTCATCTGGCGGCGGTGCAAGCCTTTAGCCCCAGCATGCGGCAGGCAGAGGCAGGCGGGTCGCTGACCAGGCCAGCCTGTTCTACAGAATGAGTTCCAGCACAGCCAAGGCTACACAGAGAAACCCTGCCCTCCCCTCCTTCCCACAAAGAAATGATTGTTGTGTGCTGGCCTAGAGGTTTAAAGCTCCTCTAGGGATCTGACAGCTCTGGCTTCCACATGAATTCACATGCACACACACAGATACACAAGTTCACATGCACACACACAGATACATGAGTTCACACACACACAGAACATGAATTCACATGCACACATCCACATAGACACACATGAACTCACATGTATACACCTACACAGCTACTCATGCAGACAAGTAATTAAAAAAATAAGAGGGAGGGTGGAGCCAGAGGAGAGGAGGGAGGGGCTACAATCGGGATGTGAAGTGAATAAAAATACATAGTCAAGTTTGCTTTTTCATAGTGCTTCAAAGGTTAAGTTGCAAGCCCATGACCGTTTCTCACTGTGAACATATGAGCATAGGCGGTGTAAGAATTTCAGTGAGGTGATCCGTACACTGTAGGGATCAGCCTGCGGCAGCATGATGAAACCAGACCTGTTCAGTTCAAGGCAGCTCGCGACAATGCTCACCCTCTCGGGAGGCGTGTGCCTACCATCTGAGCCATCGCTCAGAGGTTCCTTCACTGGCCTCCCCAGGTTACACTCGTATCCTCTGACCACACCCACACCTCACATTAGGTTCCAGCCACACTGGTCTCATGGTTCCAGTTCTACGGCCTAGGCTGATCCAGCCGCAGGGCTTCAGCCTGCTCCTCCCTCCTGCACCGCCTGAGCCCTCACATCCTGGCGAGGCTCTCCCTCAGTTCTACTTACGCATCAGCTCCTTGGAGACTATCCTAAGGTGGATGCCCCTCACCACTGCCTTCCTAGCCTGCTTTTTCTCCTCTGTCCCACTCAGGACTGCCTGAATGCCTCCCTGCTTATCAGCTTAGTTTGCTGTTTCCCTGATGAGAGCTAAGGACAGGCCTGTCTCTGTGGATCTCAGGTGTCCAAGGTCTGGCACACAGGCATTCAGGTATTTGTCAAATGCAGCAATGCACACAGCTGACAGCCATCAACCTGGTCAGCCTGTCACCTGAAGACTTTCCCAAGGCTCCTGACAAACTGTCAGTCTCAGGACCCAGTGCCCACAACCTTACAGGAGGAAGGCAAACACATGACCCAGTCCTGGGCAAGCAGAACTTTTCCTCTGACGTCACAGAGGAACCCAAATTAAGAAAGAACCATGGGACAGAGCCCTAGCAGCCCAGCACAAAGCCCCAGCAACAGCCCAGAGAGACTTCCAGCCAAATGAACAGCAGACACTGCACTGGGCCGAGGCTCGAGCAAGGCCTCTGCTTTCAGGCTTGAATATTTAGAGGACATGTTGCCCACAGGGCAGCTAGTCCACAAGATGCTTAGTTCACGGTGAAGCACTCTAGAAGGGAGATTCTGGGACTAGAAAGGTGGCTCCGCGGCTAAAGGTATGCACTGTAGCTGTAGAGGATGTGGGCCAATTCCTCGAACTCATACACACAGGAGCTCACAGCATCTGTCACTCCATTTCCAAGAGGATCTGAGGCTTCTGACTTCTGTGGCAGCTGCACGTCTGTCTACACACATACATACACAGACATACACACACACAGACATATGTCCTGAGAATTCTGGTATTTGGGTTTCTTTGAAAAATACAAAATCAGCCAGGCATGGTGGCACATACTTTTAATCCCAGCACTGAGGAAGCAGAGGCAGGCAAATCTCTGTGAGTTTGACGCCAGCCTGGTCTACATAGTCCAGGACAGAAAGGCTACACAGAGAAACCCTATCTTGAAAGAAAAACAAACAACGAAAAACCACCACCAACAAAAACACAGAAGTATTTTTCAGAGTGTATACAAATGCTAGAGTCCTAATAGGTGGAGCTGGTGGTTCTAGAACCCTGATAACTGGGGTTGGTGGTTCTTGGTTGTTCAGAGGGCCTGGCTGTGGTTTGTTAGTAGTCAAAAGGAAACAGGAAGAAAGAAATTAGATTCAGAAATCAACAGCCCCCGTCCTTCTTTCTCTATCTAGTGATGGGGGATGAAACAGGGGACAGGGGATAAAGGGTGCAAAAAAGAATCCACCAAGTAGCAATGAGAAAAAACAGACGAATACATAGACATGCACAGACAAACACATACATAGTCAAGAAGAAGATAAAGGTTTTAAAGTAAAATTTCCTTTCTTTCCTTCTTTCCTTTTTATTTTCTTTCCTTTCGACAGGGTTTTTCTGTGTAGCCTTAACTGTCCTGGACTCACTTTGTAAACCAGAACTCAGAGAGATCGCCACTGCCTCCTGAGAGTTGGGATTAAAGGTGTGCACCACCATGCCTGATTAAAATACAATTTTAAGGAGGCAATTTTCTGCCTGAAGACGCTGGCACGACCATCTCTGCTTCCTTTGGAAATGGACTAGTCCCCTGGGTCAGAGAGGCATGTGATCCAGGTGTCCAGTGAGGCTCTCCAGCCAACAGTTTTTGCTTCCAATTCCTGAACAAGAGTGCACTGGGTGGCTAACTAAGAAGACGTGAGCCTGAGCTACGAGACCATGCCACACTCCCAGGGAAAGGATGCCTGCCATGGAAGACCAACCAATTCCTGTACAGACAGGAAGCGAGTTTCTGTGTCTACCCCCCATTCTAATCTGGTAGAGCAAAGCTCACATGATGTTGGGCTTTTTATGTCTACAAGCCTAGTATTATTTTACACAGACACTCATGTACTTGTGCATGCGCGTGCATGCACTCACGCGCGCGCGCGCGCGCGCACACACACACACACACACACACACACACACACACACACACGCTCATGCATACATATTGGCGGTGGCGGCCCAAGCCCTGGCCACTGTTTTCCTCCCCCCGGCCCCTGGCTTGGCCTGCCGTTAGCAAGGATGAGCAGGACTTACGTCAGGCTTGAAAGGCGGTTCCAGCATGCCAGCTTCCAGCCGCTTGAAGTTCAGTTTCTTGAAAAGGGGGTGCTCCTTTACCTCACGGGCACCCCCTCCTCGACACCCCAACCGCTCAGCAGGGTCCTTGCTGAGGAGCTGTGGAAGGCAGGGGGGGTTAGGGCACCTGAGTGTGAACGAGGTGCCCAGCTCCACCGGGGCCGCCTCTGCCCATTGGCACCTGCGAACAGAGCGAGCGCGCCTGTGGGGAGAAGCGCTCCGTGTAGTCCTCGGGCACCTCCCTCACCAGCCGCTCCACCTCTTCCCGCTTGATCTTCTTCTTCCTCTGCTGGAAGGGTGACTGGCCTGCAATCATCTCGTAGAGGAGGCAGCCCAGTGCCCACCAGTCAGGGCTGAACGTGTACCGTTCATTCTTCACCACCTCGGGGGCTGTGGGGACCAGTGTGAGTGTCAGGTAAGCAGTGAGGACAGAGGGTCTCCTCAGATCCCCAACAAGAACCAGGGCATCAATGCCAACACCCACTGGCTAGGCAGGCATGTCACGGGCTTGGTGGGGACTTTTCAACCAATGTAAGAAAGCACAGCTCATCAACAGCAGCTGCTGTGGTGTTTTCATGGGGGAACTTGGGCCCCAGTGCTGGAGTTTGCTGAACTCAGGGCCACACAAATGTCAGGCAAGTGCTCTATGGGTTGCATCCTACCCAGAACCCCCAACTTCTTTTTTACATGAAGCTGTTCAGCTTATTAAATGTTGGCAATCAATTCAAATTATTCTAAAACCAACGCAACTTCAGAATTAACACAGGCCGAATCAGGACCATGTAGCTACTGACTTGTGACTCTGATTTCACAGGGGTTAGAACACCCACTGCCCACCTGACACTGACCCCGACCCCACCCCCACCCCAACAGTGGCCTACAGGGCTCTCCCTTCCACATCTCCTTTCATTTCAGCACCCTCAGGGAGCAGCTCTCAGGAGGTTTCACAGGAGAACAGAGGCTGAAAGTGGGGCACATTCCCCAAGGTAGAGCCTGGAGAGCCAGGACTACATGGTGCCCACAGTCCATGGGCTGGGTCTCTGCTGCCCACACCTCAGGTGGGCATGCTAGTCCAGGCATGGGCCAGGCAGGGAACACTGCCATGGATAGGCCTTGCCTTTCTCTTCGATGTCACAGGGCCCCCACCGCAGCCCTCAGTGTTCAATAAGCACCCAGCAAACGACCAGCATGGGTCACAATGTGGGGGGCTGGCTAAGTCTTGGTCTCCCAAGTCACAAAACAACAGCAGCCGCCGTGTTGGTGTGGGCTGTTAACTACTGGAGGGGAGGAGACACCCCAGCACAGCAGTGGGTAGGCCAGCCTAGGACAAGGGGATCCAGGAGACTGGCTGGTGTACGAGGTCAAAGCGACTTACCCATGTAGCCCACAGTGCCCACACGACCCTTGATGGTCTGGCCCTCAGGCACATGTACAGCCAGTCCCAGGTCAGAGATGCGGATGTGGCCTGGGGGGGGGGGCAGCGACTCGGGTGGGCTCACTGCTGGGCAGGCCTTCCCATCTCAGCCCGCCTCCCACCCGGGCCTTCTCACCCACCATGGTCATCCAGCAGGATGTTCTCTGGCTTTAGGTCCCTATGGGGAGAGAAAGGTGGGGTCAGATGCCCGTTTTCCAGGGAGCCAGCCAGAGGCAGTCTCTCTCATATCTCAAGCGCCTGCAGGGATGAGGCGTGGAGCAAGGTGAAAGAGCACTGTTCTCCTCAGGCAGCAGCAAACTCAGGGGAGCAGGCAAGGACCCAGAGAGCCAGAGCCTCAGGGACTTTCTACGGTAGTGACAAGTGGCTCCAGTCCAAGGGACTCCCACCCAGTGGGGGACCCGCCCGGGGGAGGGGATCCTTGGACACCACCTTTGTTCACCCTTGATGTCGAAGCTCCTTTCCCCCTTCTCTGTCACATGAGGCTACTCCTCCATCCTGAGAGGGCCCCTGTGAGGCTCAAGGAAATCTCCACCCATTACCACGAGCAGGGCTCTCTACTTCTGAGCCCACCCGTGAGGCAGGAATGAGGGTCTCCCCAAAATCAGAACTCACACGTTGGTCAGCCAGCCAGAGCCCAAAACCTAGGTCTGAAGCACTGAAATCTATCACCTATGAGAGGGTTCGAGCCTGGAGCCAGCCTCAGCTTGTGACTAGACAAACTCCCAGCACACCACCTTCCCACTGTCTACCAAACTACCAAACAGGCAGCCTCAGCCACCACCAGGATCTAACCGCTGCCCTAGCCAGGAAGGACCGGGAATGGGCACCCGAGACGCTCACCTGTACACAATGCGCTCCTGGTGCAAGTCCTCCAGGCCACAGCAGATCTCGGCGGTGTAGAAGACGGCACGAGCTTCCGGAAAGCCAGCCTGACCCATGTGGTAGATGTGGAACTTCAGGTCTCCTCCGTTCATCAGTGTCAGCACCAGGCACAGGGCATCCTTGGTCTCGTAGGCGTAGGCCAAGCTCACCTGTGCTCAGGAGACCCACACCCTCAGACGGGAGCTGTTGGGGGTGCTTGGTGTGTGTGTGTGTGTGTGTGTGTGTGTGTGTGTGTGTGTGTGTATACATGTGAGAGTGTGCACACACGCACACACACACACACACACACGCGCGCGCTAACCCAACACCCAAACAATCTTCTGCGTGCCACTCCTCAGGGCGCAGCAGGCTCCCTGAGCCTGGACAGCACTCCTACCCCACCCTTTTTGGGGGCTGTCCAGGGCAGGCAGGGACAGGGCTCCGGTGGGGGAGGGGGACACGGTGAGCGGGTGACGGGAAGGGAGGGCGCCTGTGTACTTACTACAAACCTACTGTTCACTTTCTCCAGGATCTGCTTCTCGTTGAGCGCCATGGCCTCCCCTTTCCGCTTCTTGATGCGTTTCTTTTCCAGTTTCTTGCACGCATACATCTTGCCTGTGGCCCGCACCTGGCAGGCACATACCTGGAGCCAGGGTAGACGGGAACAAATGGAGCCAGCCATGCTCTTGCTGGAGGTGGGCTCAGGCCTACTGGGCCCAGTCTAGTGCACCTGGCAAGGCCCAGTGCCACTCACCTCACCGAAGCCACCCTTGCCCAGGACTCGGTACTGCCTGAAGGTGTTTTTGGTCACCGGCTGCCTACAGGTGAGAGTAAAAGAAACAAGTGTTTGCGCAAGCAGGCCCTAGGAGGAAAGCCCGCGGCGGGCACAGGCCAGCGGGGAGCTCACCTTTCCAGCCACTTCCACTGCAGGAAACGGTTGAAGTACAGGCTGTCGAGGTAGTTGGCGAAAGGGGCCATGCTTAGGTACTCATGGGTCAGCCTGTAGAGAGAGGCTCCACCTGTAGACAAGCCCAGGGCGCCAATTCCCTGTCTGAGGGCCCAGGCCTCCCCTCCACGTGTGCTCAGCCCCGGTGCGGCATCCTTATCCTCGAACAAGCTCATTGAAGCACCAACAGGACACAGGCATGCCAAGCCGAGCAAGGAAGCAACCGTGAAGTTCAAACAGCACGGACAGGAAAAGGAACTGAGCCTGCTCCAGATGTCATGGCCCACAGCGCCCCCTCCCCAGTGTAATTCCAGATTTGTGGGCTTGGAGCCTTACCGGGTTAGCTCCTGGAAGAGGTCTTTGCAGGGTCCCTGCTCTAGCCGCTGGGCGCAGTCACTCACCAGCTGCCGGGGGACTTCAGGGATGAGGTCAGGACCCTGGGGACAGGCCACACACAGGTCAGTGCAGAGGGCTCTCCTGGCACCACTGCCAGATGTCTGTGGGTACCAAGGGTGGCTGTGGTGGGTCGCGCAGCTGCTGCCTCTTTGCTGCCCCCTCACTGAAGACAGGGCAAGGCAGCCGCTGGCAGGCTGCCTGACCCAAGCTCAGCCTGAGCCCTGGGCTTCGTGCCCACGGCTGCCTGGAACAGCTCCCAGGCACTCACTGCCCAGGCTGTGGTCACTCTGCCTGTTGTCACTGGGCCCTGCTTGCTGCTGTCACCTCTCCATCACTGCTCACTCACCGTGTGGCTCAGAAAATTCTGCATTAGCCGCCGCCCACATGCCTTCCGGTTCTCATCTGGGGTCACTTCATACTCGGCCTGTAGAGTGAGAGGCAAGGAAGCCTGAGGCTGGGTGGAGAGACAGATGCGTGTGTGGGGGCGGGAGGAGCAGTGGCCAGGGCCTCCGCCTGCCCTCTCTGCTGGGCTGGGCCCTGGGGCCCGACACTCACCACCCCATCCAGGAAGGCAGTACATCGGGTCAGCTCAGGCCGAGTGGCGCAGAACTCACGGAATAACAGGCGCCCGATGGGCTGCCGCTCACACAGACTGTGGTAGTCACGCTCTGCGGGCCAAGAGAGGAGCTGCTGGGACAGGCTTACAACTCACTGGCAGGACACTCTGCTTTATACCCCTACGTGTGATCCAAGACCTCTACCCCCAAAGAGTAGTAGCCTTTATCTTCTCCAGAGCCCTCACTACCCTCTTCAGGTGGGCACCACTGTGATTCCGGTGTAACTTGGGGCTATGGGACCCAGAGAAGTGGGTTAATCAGCTCAGTGTCACTCAGCCAGGAGTCTGGGCTCCGGAGGACAGCCTCATTCCTCTTGTCTGCTGGTTCACAGACTTGCCAGTCAGTTCTGGGGCTGGGTGTGGTCTGTGAGGTTCCGGCCCGGCCCAGCCCAGTTCTACACCTGTTGCCTGCCTGGCGAAAGTGTGAGAGGAAGCTGTGGCTTCCTCTGTTCTCAGCTGGGCCCCATCCCAAGCAGGGCACATGCTACCCACACGTTAGCCGTCAACATAGGTCGGGGCCACCTAAGGAACTGCTCAGATCCTCAGCCAAGAAGCAGGAAGGGGTGAGCCCTTCCGCCACCTCTACAAGTAACTATCACACTCCTCTAGCTTTGCTGGGTACCCTAGGCTGGCCTAGCCAAGGCTCACAGCACAGGCCTGGAGTTCCAGACCCGCTGGGCCCAGGCTGACTTTCCCTCCCATGTTTCTTTTACCTCCCTCCAGGGCAGCCCAGCCTTCCTCTCTTCCCCAGGCCCACTCCACTGATACCAGTCAGTGCCAATTCTCTGCCCTCCACCCATTTCAGACCCAGGAACTGAAACTGGGCTGGAGTATGCAGTCTCCATCTTCCTGGACAGCCCCTCTCCCACAGCACCCCTGTGACCAGGGCTCCTCCTGGGTAGCCCCAGCCTGCTCCTGCAGCCTGGAGTTCCGCCCCGCCTCACCGAGGCTGAGCCGAAGTTCCTCACACTGGCTGATATGGGGAAACTGCAGCATCTGGCGCCATTTCTTGCTCTTGCCTTTGCGATTCCCGCCGCCACCTGCAAGAGCAAGCAGGAACCAGGTCTCGCCGCAGGCCTGAGCCACCTGCCTCCGAAGCTTTCCCTCAACGCTTGGCCCAGAGGCTCTCTGTTCAGCCAAGCCTGCTGTGGGACTCCTTCCACACACTCCAACACACCCTTAGCAAGTTCTAGGATGCACACACCCTTCTGCACACCCATGCGCTCGGCTCCCAGGAGAACCAAGAAGAGCACTGAGGACATTCCAGCACAAGCCTGGCCCCATTCACTACTTGTACTCAGTGGGAATTCTACAGGTTAAGAAGGTAGACAAGAGCTGGGCCATGGTGGTGCACACATTTAATCCCATCACTCGAGAGGTAGAGGCAGACAGATCTCTGAGTTCCAGGCCAGCCTGGTCTACAGAGTGAGTTCCAGGACAGCCAGGGGTAGCCAGAGAACTTTGCCTCAGAGGAAGGAAGGAACGAACGAAGGAACGAAGGGAGACAATAAGCCAGGCAGGGCAGCACTCGCCTTTAAACCCATCATTCAAGAAGCAAGTTTATCTCTGAGTTTGAGGCCAGCCTGGTCTACATGTCGGTTCCAGAAAAGCCAAGGCTAGACAGTAAGACCCTGGTCTTTAAAAAACAAAACAACAATAACAACAAAAACCAAGCAAACTAACAAAAAATAAACTAGACAGTGGAGGATGTTACCTAAGACAACAAGGCATGCCAGCGAGAGATTCTGCGTCCAGGACATGCCTGGGATGCCAGGGCGGTCTGGGCAAGCCCCTCAGGCCCTAACACTGTGTTGGACCAGAACTATCTCCCTGTCCACAGCCAGGTGAAGGGAGAAGGCTGGCACTCAGGATGCTGAGCCTGCTGGGATGCCTCCAGAGCCTGGCAGGTCGGTTAAATGTGTGCTTCAGCAGTCCCCACCCCCACCTGCACAAGCCTGAGGACAAGCAAACTTGACTAGAACTGTGAAAACTAAAACTTATAAAAAGAGGCTGGAGGTGGTGGCATACGCCTTTAACCCCAGCCCTAGGGAGGCAGAGACAGGTTCTCTGTGAGACTGAGCCAGCCTGTCTACACAGTGAGTTCCAGGACCATCAGGGCTACACAGGCACAGTCTCAGAACAAACAAACAAAAAAAGCACACTGCAGGCAAACAGCATGGCAGAGGAGGAGCCTTAGTGTCTCTGGGACACTAAGGATGTTGGGAGGGGCCTGAGCCATGCCACCTCCTGGACCTGAATCTTCATCACTGCACACCAACACCATCCAGTTTCCATGGCACCTCCAGAGGCGCTGTAGGGTGAGTGAGAGAGACTTGTCCAGCACTCAGCAGGACTGTATAAAAAGGTAAGACCCAGCTCTAATTTACTGACAGCCTAGGGCAGTCATCTGCCCTTGCCTGGCCTCAGTTTCCCCAGCACTGTCTATCTGACCCAGTGTAAGTGGTACAGGGGGCAAAGCTGCCTTCTGGGAAAGGGGCAGGGCTGAGTCCCTGACTGGTCTCCCAGGAAGAAGGAAGTGTGGCAGTGTCTCCTTGAGAAACTCTTGTGGCCCTGCTGCAGCCTGCACTCCATGTGGCCCACAGCCATTGCTTCATTCCTCCCAGTCCTCCTCCACCCAGATCCCTCCCCTGCATCTGCCTGCCTCCCCCAGCAGTCACTTCCTCCTCCCTCCTCCCAGCTGTGTCAGGGCGAGTGCAAAAAGTCACATGCAAATATCCTGTCCCAGAACTGGCTGCCAATCTGTGGGGCTCCTCTCCCCCTACCATGCCCTCCTCCTGTGTGCCTCTGGCACCTGGGCAAAAAAAAAGAAAATCCAAGTGAGAGTGCAGCTTCCAGGGTCAAGGCCCTGAGATCACGGAGGCTCTGAGCGGTGACTGACAGCGGGAGAGAATTCAAGCCCCATTCTCAAATTCAAGTTCTTACCCACCTCTAACATGACCAACTCACCTTTAAGCCTAGCACTTGGGAGGCACTCTACAGAGCAAGCTCCAAGTACACTGAAACTAATATATGTATATGTATAGTGAGACCTCCTCAAAAACAGAATCAACAAAAAAGAGCCAACAGTATATGCATAACACACGTTTCCCAAATGCTGACAGCCTCTGGACATTTGAAAAGCTGGTCCCAAGCTGCCAGCTGTTTTGTGAAATGATTTTAACACAACCAGTTCATGGGTATTAGAAGACTCCATGACAATGAGGCTCTCCTTAAAGTAAGTAAATAAATAAATAAATAGGACGAGGATGTGGAGGGGCAGGAAGTATGTCAAAAGCCATGCAGGTGTGTATGGGGGTCATGGGCAGTCTGGGATATAGGTCCTCTAAGAAGGCACTAGCCCCCATTCTGGCCATACTATTATGTGCTTCATCCAAGATCCAGCAAAGACTGTGCAAAGGTGCACAGAGTGTCTGGCCCAGCAAGGCAATGCCCTCAGTAGGCTGGGGCCCGAATTGGCTAGCCCTAGGAAGTAAGGCCTGGCCCTGGCTCTCCTCACCCCTCCTCCCTGGCCGGCTGGATGACGAGGCAGAACAGAATCGGCAGATGCCCCCAGAGGCTGAGAGGAAGGCCCAGCCCCTGAGTCTGATAAGGGACAGGAGATAAGATAGCCTCCCTTGGGCACTAGGGACCAGCGTGCCCATCCCATTTCCAGACAACACCTCCTTGGGTGTGACACGCACTGGGTAGCAAAGGACATCAGGAGCTGCACCACACCGGGGGGCTTCTGAGCTTCCTAGATTCTACCGGGCGTCATGCCTAAGCCTGGGCCAATTACAGCCTGGTTGGGCTAGTCTCTGACCTGAGCCTCAGTTTCCCACCTGTAACCTGACACAGACAGTGAAGCTGTGACTCTTTCAGCCGGGAAGTCCATCAAAGAGTGGAAAACTGTCACCATGTCCCTCCCCCAGAGTTCCAAAAAGAATCTTGTTCACTGTTGGCCCAGCACCCTGGACAGAGTAGTGCAGCATAGGTGTCTGAGGAGGCACCTGTAAGTGTAAGGTCTGGTCCTGGCCACCGAGGACCCTCACAGAGCAGGTGCCAAATACCACCTATAGTGAAACCAATGATCTCCTCCACAGCACGTCCATGTGCGCACACACTCCGTCCACCAGACTGCTTTCAGGGTTTTAACCTTGGAGTCCTAACAGCCCAGCATGCTCGGCTCCCACTTATTTCTTTGTGCTGGAACAGGGCATAGGCTTGCTGAATGCAAAAATCGTTGCCCATTCGCCCGTTTTTAGTGTCCAGAGTGGTGGGTCTGTGGGTGACATACGTGTCCAGAAGTTCCCCCCATGTCGGCTGGGTTGTCTATGCAAAGGCTCGGTTCATTCATTCTCCAATCTTTACAGATTACCAACTTTGTACTGCTCAGGGCATCTGGGCCTGGGGCACGTGGAGCACCTTCCTGCCTCTCACCTACTAGAGGCCTCAGACACACGCTCCTGGAAGCCCCGTCCCACTTTTGCTCTTCCTTCCCTTTCTCCTCCACCCCCCCACCCGCCTCAAGGCCCGCGGCGCGACCCCCGCCCCTCCTGGGCCCCAGGTTCCGGAGGTAGGTGCGGCGGGCAGGCCGGAAGGGCTCCCGTCTGCGCGAAGAGTCCTGGTGCAGACTGCAGGGCACGAAGGTAGCCGGGGCGCGGGAGCCCCGGGGAGCTCGGAGGGCGCGCGCCCGCGATCCCCGCACCCGGGCCTGGCCGCCCGCCTGCCTGGCCTCACCTTCCCGGGCCTTGAGTAGCACCGTGTTCGCTACGATGTTCTCGAGCTCCATGGGCTGCAGCGCCGCCCGGCCCGCCAGGCCGCGCCGCCGGCCGGGACCGCCCGCGAGAGCCCGGGCCGATGGCGACCGGCGCGGCTCGGCTCGGCTCGGCTCGGCTCGACTGACCGCGCCGCGGCCTCCCGGGCCTCCCGGGCCTCCCCGGCCGCCGCCGCCCGCCGCTCGCTCCGCGCCCCTCCCGGGCCACCGGCGCCCACCCCGCCCCGCCCTCTGTTTACTTGGCTCAGTCAATGGGCGAGCGGACGCTCCCCGCGCCGCGCTGCTATTGGTCAGCCTCCTTCTCCCGCCCCGCCCACGGAGCCGAGCACTCGCTTGCCGCGGAGAGGGGGCGGGCCCATGCGTCGCCTCTTCCTGGTTGGGCTGGGGGCGGGACTCGGCCCCTAGGTTCGAATTCCTAGGCCTTGGTAGGGCGCCGATCTGCCAATTAGGGCTGAGCCTCTGCCGGGGACTTGGAGGGTGGGCTCTGGGGGGGGGGGGGAGCCACGCCCGGGAGGCCTAACACGTGATTGGACTAAGGAAGCGTCAACCATGCAGCCTTGCGCTCTGATTGGGCTGTTGGGTGGGGGCGTGGCCGAGCGCCCGGGCTCGCAGGTGGGACGTCTGGGGTTTTGTCGCGGCCCGCTGTGCGTCCTGCCGGCCCGCAGGGAGCTTGGTTGGGGGTTCGTGGCCTGCCGTCGTCTCTTGAGCCAGCTGCTTCTGAAGGGCGCAGAAGGTCGGAGCGAGCGGAGGACCGAAGGGAGGATGTCGCCTTCCCAGCGGCGCACCGCCCCTCGCCCAGCCGCACCCGCACCCCGCCCCCGCAGCCGGATGTTGTGATTTCTCTCCTCCCACCCGCCCGGCCGCCTTCGGCCTCTGCTGCCTTATAAGGCAGCGCTGCCACCCCGAGTCGTTGAGGATGAGTTCACACCCGTTGTACAGGTGGGGAGCTGAGGCGCTGGATGTTGAGGGGCCGGGGAAAACAAGTTCCAATTTTTCAGCCCCTCAGCACAGTATAGTTCAGTACCCCCACTTCCTACTCCACACCTCTTTTCGCACAGCAGGAAACAGAGGCTTGTCCAAACTCGGGGATTAAGGAACAACCGGATCCTACTAGGTGTCTTTGATCCTTATTCATTCATTACTGAAAGAAAAAAAAAAAAAAAAAAAAAAACTGCTACTGCTTTCTCTCAGGCACCCAGCCAGGTTCCGGATATAGCTGTGACAGCAAGAAAGCCAAACTCAGTGCTTACGTGCTAGGCGGGAAGGACGGTGATGGTAATCCTGTAAATGATTTTAGAGTGATGCATGCTACTGAAACAAAGAGCCGGGAATATAGCCTCATGGTAGAGTGCGCTTAGCATGCCCACGCCCAAGTTTATTAAAGAGACCGGAAAGGTCTCAAGCCATGACATTTGAGTACACCCAAAGAGGCACTATGCCTAAAGTGAAGTTTGGCGAAGGAAAAATCGTAGGCGGCTCTAGAGTCCAGTGGTCTGAGTGAGACAGGCAAGGGTGTCATCAGTTAGATCATGGAAGGCATTGCCGTTTACAGAGAGGGGTTGGTTCTGTGAAATGCGAAGCTCATAGACGGTTTGTATTTACCAATGACAAGTGTCTAGTGGACTGTCGGGTACCAAGTGAGACCCGAGGGCTGGGTGAGAATGGGCACATTGAAGACCTGAGTTCCACCCTGGATTCACATGTGGAAGAGGACACTCAGTTCTGCTTGTGCTCTAGAACACACCATAAATGAATAAGTTAATGTACCTGAACAAATACATTTAAACGAGTGCAGCAGAAATAAGGGCTGAGGAGGAGGGCAGAGGCACCTCATGTATGCAGCACCTGTGGGCAGAGTGTCTTGGAGTTTGTGGTGGACATTGGCATGGGCTGGGAGAGCATACAATGACGCAGAGTCTTGGTGGAACCTGGACAAGGACCTTGGACTTGGTTTTGAGGGCAGTAGAGAGTTCTGGAGGCAGATTTTAAATAGAGTAGAAGTGCTTTGCTAAAGGGCTCTAGGCTGCCCTGGGGTGGGCCTGTGAATGGCAGGCTCTCTGCCTGGGTGAACACACTTCCACCCGGGAGGAGTCCCGGGAGCTGCAGAGGCAAACCCTGGCTCTGACTGAGAACACCGGAAAGGGGAGACAGGATTTACTCTCTTGGGTTCCTGGTAGCAGAGCCTGTTCCTAATGTTTCCAGCCAGGTCTTTGAAGTCTAGGAAGGGACCACCACAAGACAGCAGGAGGGGGTGGGGAGAGACAGAGGTGTCAAACCAGCTCTTCCTGGCATTGGAGAATTCAGCAGGCACCCTAGGAGCTGTACACTCTCATCCTGATCTTAAATTACCCAGAATCTGGTTTGGCTGCTTGCAACCAAGTATTTGCCTAAAACAGGAAGTAGGCCTTTTGGGATGAACCATTTGCAGAATGGTGGTACCCTGTACTTGAGTAGCACCAGGAGTGTGAACAAGTGAATTGAGACCCTCCTTGAGCTGGAATCAATGGGAGGTAGAGAGAAGAAACCAGCCGCAACTCGCAGGTTTTAGAGGTGTTTCTAAAGAAGGAAATTTAGCCCCGTCCTTCTGTGTTGACTGGCTTTTCCTGGGGGATGAAAACCCACCCAGAAAGCACACCATAGAAGCAGAACATGGAAACAGTCCTACCCAGCTCTAGCCTCATGAGCCAATGAGCTTATTGGGATTACTCACGTCCTAGGTGACTCAAAGGCAGCTGAATCACCTAGAAGCCCACCCACCCAGCACAGGTATGGACTTGGGGGACTGCCCATCTGGGGCTCCCTGCCCAGTGTGCAAACAGCTCTCCTAAAGAGTCCTTCTGGAGGAGAACTTGTCTCCTGCGTATATGACCTGTGAATCTTGAAAATGTCTAAGCTTTCTAAGCCTGATAAGTCTCATTAGTTTCCCTGGTCTTTTGCGACACCCCTTCCCCCATCTCTGGGAGGGAACGTCACAGTTTGGATGAAGTAACCACCCAGCAATTTGAGAGGTGCATTTCTTGGAATCTGACCTAGAGCAATCATTGCACTCAGGCCAAAGAAATAAGCATTCAAGGTTACTGACTGCAGCGTTGTTCAAAAGATGCATCGATTGAGTAAAATTTGGTCATTTTCTGTAGAGTAATGTACTGTGAACTGACAGCTTCTCCTCCTCCCTTCCTCCCTTCTTTCCTTCCTATCTTCCTTTCAACAAGCCCTTGATATTTGTCACCCATCCCAGCTGGTCTTGCTTTAGCCTCCCTACTAAGGATTATAAGTGTATGCCATGGCACCCAAACCCAACCAGTTTGCTTATTTTTAAACTACCAGCTGTGCCAGGTGTGTGGTGCATGCCTTTAATCCCAGCACTTTGGAGGCCAAGGAAGGCTGATCTCTGTGAGTTCAAGGCTGGCTTTGTATACAAAAATGAGATCCAGAGCAGCCAGGGCAATATAGAAAGACCCTGTCACAAAAAACCAAAACGAACAAAAAACCTGACCCCCTCACTCTGTTGCTGAGAACCTTCTGTGGCTTTTCACCGTGGGCAGCCTCTGAAGTGTCTAAAGCGTCCGTGGTCCTAACCCTCTGTGCTTTCTGGCATTCATACCCCAGTGTTTCCACCCAGAACAAGGTTGCATTGCCTGAGTGAGTTCAAATGAAAAGGATGCAGCAAACATGGCAGAGTCTAAGTCACTAAACGATGAGGCTTCCAGTTTCATTTCCTGTGCCCGAAATACTCGATAAACAAAATGCAATGAAGAAAAGAAAAGACACTCCAAACTCTCCAGCTGTCCTACAGATGTGCTGTTTGATCTGGGCCCCGTGAATCCCCCCAGTCTACAGCCCCTTGCGTGGTGTGCACTAGCAGCCACAGACGCCTGTCTCTCTGTGAACGTGGAACCAACCGCACTCAGTACTGTAGCCACCAGCCACCTGTGGCTGTCAACATCAAAAACTAGAATTCAGTTCCTCCACTCCCCGAAGCCATGCTTCATGCGCTCAGCAGTCCCATGAACGCTCCATCAGGTTGAGCTGTTTAGGGGAGGGAGGCCTTCTCTTTGGCAGAGGCCTCGCTATGTGGAGCATGGTAGCTGGGCAAGCAGGGGTGCCACCTACCAAGATGCAGAGGATGATGGCCTGGGTACCATCTGGTCCCCCGAGTTCCCTTTGACACGTAGGTCTGCAGCCTCTTGAAACCCTTGTCCCAAGTCCCTGCTGAAGAGGAATGAAGCTGGTTATGGCACAGGGCTGCAATCCTATTTGGAAGGCCTGGGCAGGAGGGATGAAAGTTCAAAGCCGCCTAAGTTACACAGACAGACCATCTCTTGAAGAAGAAAAAAAAGTTGAGGAACTGGGCTTCTGTGTGTTCATGAGTATCAGACATCCAAGAAGTCCTTGGTGTTTCCTGTTCTGTAAGCCCGCAGCACAGCTTTGCTGAGAAAGACTCCAAGCACAGAGAGGGTGTCAGTCTGCCCTGGTCCGCAGCAGGAAGAGAGCCAGAAGTTCAGAGGGAGCAAGGACGTGTGCAGCAGTTGCCGAGAGATGGCGGCTGTGTGGTAATGCTGTTGCCTTCTCCAGTGGGCAGAGCAGGGACCAGCCTCTGCCTCCCCCACGTGTTTCCTTCCCAGCCACACGGCACCAGCACCAGTGCATGCTCTTCCCAGGGAGCCCTGAAAGTCAAGGTTCAGAGAGGCTGACCCTTGACCCAGGAGCATTCAGGGGCAGGGAGGTGGTCACTGGCACCAATGGGACCCCAGGCTGCCTCACTGAGCTCCTGCAGCTCTCACTCTGCTCCCAAGGTCAAAATTTTCTTATCTTCAAGCTACTTATTTACACACTGGGTCATAAGGAAGTTGTTTTGGTTTTGTTTCAGAAACGTCTTTGCTTCTTTGCACTTGACATGTGCTAAGACTTTTGATTTTAAATAAGACTGGCACAGTAAAAAAGGGCATCGCCCTTCTGAAGTACCTGCATGACACAGGAGGTGGTCCTGTACTCAGGTGTCTCTGGAGCCTTGGTTTCAAATCTCTGTCCTATACCTGACTCCACTTTTAGGCATTTTGTTTGGTTTTGGTTTAGCCACTCTGGGTAAAAGCCCAGGGCTTCGAGCATTCCAGGTAAGTGCTCTGCCGCTGAGCTATACCCCACAACTCTCTGTCTTTGCT